GGCGCCGCACGCGTTGCGCGCACAGCACAGTTCTGCGGCGATATAGGATGGTGCGGCGTGAATTTTCAAATTTGGCCCGATACACTACGAATATTTGACTTCAAGCTAGATTCTATCCCTTGTCCCATGCTTCATCCACCATGGCTTTTGACCTCCCCTCCATTGCCAACCATTGTAGCTTTTTCCCTGTCACCGGACTGCCTCTAGACCGATTTATAAATCTCGTAGTATACCCCGCCTTATCCGGTGCATGTCCCACGCACATAGAGTCAAGCGTGCGTTGAGGAATCCTCGTCAACGGGGAAGGGTCGTATTGGCCCCTGGGAGGAAGAGATCGGGACGTATCGATGCAGTAGGGCCACTCGATCAAGAGCATATAAGATTAAAGTTGAGAATCGTCAAACAATTTTACACTTTTTGGGAAGGAACAAGTTCGCCGATTTAGAATCTGCTTCCATTTTTGTACAAAATCGCCCCCTAAGCCTTCTACACTACGCATTCTTACAGAAGAATACAGGTACTTCCGTAAGTCACTCAACCAGAAGCGGCAACATCTTCGAAAATCTAGATGATCTAGACCAGGTATTTTGAATTTCTGGTCGTATTTAAACAGGGAACTATACCTGAGCACATATGATTATATTTATAATGATGGTGATTATAGGTGATAATACCTGATAGGAGGGGTCAGTTTCAAGTATTCTCAAACTTCAGATTAGGATACACTGTTTACACTACCAAATGAGTAAGATGACGGATGCTTGATGATGGGTGACATGAAGATGCATTTTATCAATGATATTGATATTGGTAGAAGACAACGACGTTTGAGTGCGGCTAGGTCCGTCATACCAATACAACCATCTGAGCTCGAAAGAGTGCTTAGTGAATGAATAAGTTCCATTCAGTATCAAGAGAAGCAAAATGTATCACTTCATTATATAAACCAGAACTTTGGTGTGTCGGTTTGTCGGTGTGTGTGTCGTTCTGTCCGTCCGGACCAACCGCTCACAAAACCAGGGAGTACGAAGGGCAACACTTCGTGATGTTGATGTCATGATCATGATAACACCCACAGCGGCTATATAAACACCGATCGAGCACACTCAGTCTCATTCTACATGGTGCTGCCGTGGCAGCCGGATGAGCGGGGGGGGGAGGGTGAGGGGGGGTAGAGGGAAGGGGGCAAGAAAGGGGAGGCTGGAAGGGAGGGGAGAGAGAGAGGAGGGAGGGAAGGGGAGAGGAGAAAGGGAGGGAGAACATGGCGCTGCCATGCGCCGGAGAGGGGGTATAAGGAGGTATAACACATTCAATAGTGAGGTGGTTAATGGAGTACGTCATGCTGCTATTCCGTGGTTCCTCCCTACCCTGTGATGCGCGCGATAGCGGGCGGAGCAAACCTGGTTGACCCATAAACTGCTTGGATTTCTTGATAATGGTTAGTGTTCATTGGAGATGGTTGTTACAACTTTGGCAAGAGAGAACCTTCTATTCCCATCCATCACTGAAAGCAAGAAACCTAACTGCTAAATCAAGTGAATTCAGCATGAGTGTTATGTGGTTACAGCGCAATGATAAGCAGTAGAACTAGACTATTCCTTCTACCAATATCTGTTTAACGCGCTGCACAAGTGCTGAGGTGCACTAAGTTATCCAACTCTTTGCAAGCGCGGCCGTCCTCACCCATTAGGAAGGTCATGAGCGTTAAGCTCATGCGAAAAAAAAGCAGTAAATATTATAAATAACAGAAAAGCACCCAAGAACAGAACTAACGACGAAAGCAGCCAAAACACAATAAGGATACATGCAAAAAAAACAGACATCAGAATATAAAAGTGAGATTTGAGATGAATTGCGCTACTCTGTAATTATAAATTAGGTTGTCGGAAAATCTTTGCTCATTTGGCAACTTTTTTTTCAAAATTGTTTTTCTTCTTTAGTGCAGCCAACAATTGCTGAATACATACACCACAATAATCATCGAAACATTGCTCTTCAGCAGGCAACCATTGCAGGCCATGTCGAACCGTGCGGGATATATTATATATTCCCCGCACCCATTACACTCATTTTTTTCGCGCACGCCTGATTCTTTTAGAAGTTTCTTGTATTCATTCCATGGAAGAGACCTTGACGTAGCTACAAACATAGTGGCCCTTAGAATGGTCACGTATGCTTTAATTTAGAGGAGGATTTCTGAACCATACGAAATCTTCATTTCAATAAATTTTTCGTTTACTTTTTCTTTTTATTAATGTGAAGATTTAAATAGTAGTAGAAGTAGATAAGGAACCTTAGGGATGACAATATGTGTGTTTTGATTGGAATAATCAACGTAAAATTGCTTTTGAGGTCCATTGCAGCTAGTTCTGACCAATTTCGCTTTTTCATTGTTACTCCATGTCTTTCGATCGAAATTCCACTACTGTACCCCTGGTTAGGTTGCGCTCATTACAATTTACTGATTGGTTTTGTATTGATCATTAGTTGTGTATTTATCACTCAAAATCTGCTTGAACGACCTGAGGCGAGCGCGTCCGCAAAATCGCGCCCGGTCCCACGTGGCCAAAAAAGCCAAAACTCGCGTTGTCGTCAATGTGTTTAAAAAAAGGATGTTGCACTATGTCCAGCATGCTGTCTTACAGATGGCCTGAGAATTTCGACCACACATTCATTCGCCGTCTTGCAATGTTTATGTCTGAAAATAAGCTCGGATATGAATGCATTTTTTTCACAGAGCCCACACCAGTCTGGTGCTACGGCTTTCCTGTTAATTCTTTGTTCGTTTGTTGTACCTTTTTGATTAGAAGCAATTCCAACAAACCGCCAGAAAACGGTGAAGGGCAAAAAGAAGTTGTAGCATCAGTGGAGAATGGAGAGGATTCGCCCGGAACATACAACTAATTGGCACTCTGATAAAAGTGCATATTGTGAAATTCATCATTTTATTACTTAAAGGAATCTTCCACGGAAAAAGCTCCGCCCTCATTACCACAGAAAACGATACCTTAAAGGAATCTTCCACGGAAAGAGTGATCATTTTGTCTTGTGTGTAGGATTAGTATTATCGAAACTAACGCTTATGTTCCGTTCTTTTTGCTATGCTCATGAGGCTAGGGGCCCTGGGGTATCGTTTTTCTGTGGTAATGGAGGCGGATTTTCCTGCGGAAGATTCCTTTAATGTGCGCGAAACTATCCCTGGTGACGTTCTAGCTGTCGAATAGAGAATCGAAGCTTTAGCAGCTGAAATTCATGAAGTAATTTAACGCTAAATTATAAAGTCTTCCATTCCTGATACAAACATTACTCAGTACGAAATCGATTTTTACAATGCATCGTTTAAACTAATTAATTGTTTGATCTACATTTTCGTGAAGCCTCCATCAACTGGGAGTGCTTCTCCCGTCGTCATAGCGGAGGCGTCACTAAGGAGAAATAGAACGGCGTTCACAACATCTTCGATTTCTGAAAATGTCCAACCCTAACACACTTGGAGGCATAAGGTATTTCCTAGTAGTTGGGAACCTCACGCTGATAAAAATGTCAGCAAACAAAAAAACAACATCATCAAGTTAAAGGCATATCTCGCTGATGTCACCGTATAAGTTATCTACTCATTGAATGAGGTGGATTCGTTGTCAACTCAAAGGTAGTGCTACTATCTTGTGTCGGACTACCAAGGGTTCCACTAACTCCATAATTTACACCCATGCACACCCCACGCATACATGCATTCCACTGGTGTGAATGTTTCGTATCTGCATCTCACCGGTCCCTAGTAATCGAGGTCTATTCTCTCGTCTCTGCACCCAATGTCTCCATTTGCTCACCGCTCGAAGAAAAAGGTCCTCATCATCAGCATTTTCGGTGGTTTAAATCCTTAGTTCTCTCCCAGTCGACCCATTCGCACTTCTACTTCCGCTTCCAAACGTGATAACGATCCCAAGGGATTGTCGCGTGTCATTAAGTCCTTATCAAGAATGCCACGCTACCTGCAAATCTTCCAACTGGGAGCTGAGAGAGCATCGCAGCAGCTTTCTTAGGTTCGCTCCAGTTCTGAAAAAAAAGATTACTTAAATTTGATTTTGCACTTTTTGTACAGTTCCCACAGGGTATACTTCATCCCCCACTCAAACCACTAGCTTTGAAGGACATCTCATGGATATGAGGCACCACTTTTCAAGCAGAGACTAACATATCCAATTCAAGCGGCCTCCATTCGTTGCGAAAGTTGCGAGTAGAGGCCGCGTCTTACTTAGAGGAGCCGCTCGCAATTCACGTCGGACACTATCCAGACCAATGGAGCTGATCATTTCTGTGTCGAACAACTCGTTGGAAGATGGCGAAATGCGATAGCGATGATACTTGTTTCGATCATTTTTCCAACGATAGCGCCTAGTGTCTCATGTCGAGGGAATGTTCGAAGACTTTCATGTTGCGAGGCGGGGCGGAAGTGGTGTAGTGACAAGTGGCGCGCTTACCACGCGAGCGGTCCAGGGATCAAATCTTGGGTCGTGAGCAGGGTCAACCCTATCGTTGTGACTCTTCGAAAATTTTTTACGACCCCCCCCCTTCATGGTTGATTTGATACGACCCCCCCCCCTTGTACGTTACACTTGTGTAAAGACAGATTGACCTTAATATTTATTGCTACTCAAGTCAAATCAGCTTCCGAATAATGAGATGCACTCGAAGGTACCCGAAGGGTACCCCGAGGGGTTACTAAACTAAGAGATCGCCAAACTGAATCAGTTGCCTTAACACATTGTGGACCGCCGTTGAATGAAAACTTCGCCAAAAATGAGTCATCTATCAATAAATTTTTTGCCCGCTTGAAGATGTGTGCAAACTGTTCAGAAAGATTGTAAAGACAATAAGTCAGACGAAACCATGCTCTTTCAATCATGCGATGTGATTTCAAATTTGCTGGTTGGCGCCCTTTTGCCTTGCTGACGGTGGAGCGCATCTGCTCAAGGTGAGGAGCCGTCGAACGGGAATGTGAAAAGTTTAGGAGTTTTTTTTGTTTAATTTCAGGTAGTCCGGAAGATATCGGCGGATGTTGGATCAGCGTGGTTCATCCTTCTCAAGGAGTGCCCATTTTTTCTCAAACCCTTCACAATGAAAAAGTTATAAGCCAAAAAATTAGATTGCAAGAGAATTTTTACACTCCTCTTTCTAGGGCTATAACTTCCTTCATATTCGAGCTTCAGCGCCGAAGTGATTTGATTTAAAAAATTCAAATTATTCTCTAGCCAATCATGGGTAAAATTCTTCGAAAGTTAATTTATTAAAAATTTTGTACGTTGTGACTTTCTCTGGTGCAAACCGACTTTTTTGCTTTCAAACGATCATAACTTCCTTCAAAGTCATTCATTTAGGAAGCTGAACGCGATATAACACACTCCAGGATTCAAGCTTTCTAACGAGTACCCAAACGTTCCTGCAAAATCAGTAGTTCAAAATTTAGTCCCGTTGTAACCATTATAAAGGGCTGGTGTAACCATTTCTTTGAAAACGCGACTTTTTTACCTTCAAACGATCATAACTTCCTTAAAAGTCATTCATTTAGGAAGCTGAACGCGATATAACACACTCCAGGATTCAAGCTTTCTAACGAGTACCCAAGCGTTCCTGAAAAATCAGTAGTTCAAAATTTAGTCCCGTTGTAACCCTCAAATTTGAGGGGTATTTTTTGAGCCATTTTCTCGAAAACGCGAGTTTTCTTAAGTTTCCACTGCCCGTAACATCTCGCAAGAACAGAAGAGTGAGCAATAAACAAAAAAAAAAAGACCAATTTATGTTTAATTTAGGATGTGCTAGAAAGCTCCGAGCATGCGCTTGCACTACATCCCTTGCCTTGGTGCGCGCCACGCCTCGGGCGCCCTTCTAATTCGCTGATTCATTTGAAAGCTCATTCAGAGGGAAGCGTGGTTTACAGATGCTCTAGTATCAGTAATCTTGCGCAAACGTATCGTGCCGGCTATCATGCTGGTCTCTAAAGGCATTAGTTTCATATGTGGTCTCGTGGCTGTCACAATGCGAGTACTTTTTTCAGGATGCTGCAATCTTCCACTTCATGACTGCGTCCTTGCAGGGAGAAGGCTTTGCATAATTGCTATAACTATTCACAAACACTTTCTTTGCTGCGTTTGCTCTTCTCCTTCGTACCACTATCCATACTCAGTAGGACATCACCAAGAATTTTCAGTGCCGGCCACCAAAAAATTACGACCCCCCCCTCCAAGCTCAATTCAGTACGACCCCCCCGTTGTGACTCGTCACAACGTAGGGTTGACCCTGGTCGTGAGTCGCCCGGGCCAACCAAGCCTTCCATCCCTCCGGGGTCGGTTAATTGGTACCAGACTTGTCTGGGAGGATAAAAACACTGACTTGAACATCGGCTGGCCCCCGCAAGTCATTGTATAGGCCACATCGCATTCAAACGCCACTACGAATGTACAAATGGAAGTAGAATGCGTGCCGCATCCCAAAAAGGGATTGATCAACGGCAAATGCTTTATCCTTTTTTATCCTTTAGAATCTTTGTTGAATTCCAATATGGAGTAAGATCCTTGATTCTCTATTACGAATCAAAGCGTTAAGCACGAGGTTACTATAGGATGAGAAACTCTGCACTAACAGGTAAAGATAAAGCATTCGACACTGACCACTCTCTCTTGCGACGCGCCACGCATTCTACTTATATTAGGAATAGTAATGTTAGGTCAGAATTTAGTTACTCCTGACTACGTATCACAGGAAAACTTGCTTGAACCAGGCGAGATTCGACAGCGGCTTGCATTTTCGAGCATGCATTTCGCAGCAGCGCCATTTGTCCCTACACTATTTCCATTCAGGAACTAATGCAACAAGGTAGTTCTCAGAACATTTTATTTATGGTGAACCTATTTACAACTTTGATGGCATGAAAACATATGTAAGAGGATAAAGGAAGGGGGAGATGGTCAGGAATACCTACACTGCATGTCGCCAGAGTGTCAGACTTTGTGAGCAATCGCTAGCACATCGCGCGATTCGAACAATGCGCCTGCCCGAATCGTGGGTGTGTCACAAACTGTTCGAATCTTCGATAGAAAAATTCGCCAGCGATTGGTCGGAAGGTCTGACACCAATCTAGCTCTGCTCAATCACAAGCTCTTACCGTCTTTCCCATTTCAGTCATGACCACGGTTGGATTTACACAGTTGACTCGGATTCCGTGCTCTCCTAGCTCTTTTGCAAGACACCTGGTAGCCATATCCAGGCCTGCTTTACTCGCACCTAAACATATTCCTTTTTTTGCAAAAAAAAATGTTTAGAATCATAAAGGAACGGTGAAACGAAGGTCGTAGTAGGTCATGATTTGATAAACCAAGTAGGCACAGCGCACATGCGAAGCATGGACCGTGATTGGTATGTTGTTTTGTTCGAAAATCAGACAAGAAGGGGAAACGCGAAACGCGTAGTTTCGTAGAAAATACTGAGGAATCCCTTGTGAGGTTGGCCGGTTTGATGGAGAACGCAGCTCTACGAGGAGAGTGAAAACGCGAGAGAGAACGGCGTCGCAAGAGGGCGTAAACGCCAAGTATGGGCGCGATTAATCTTTTGGCGACAATGAGGATTTGCACGTTACTTAATCAACTGGGGCCACTTCCGTTTTTGGCGCGCCCAACTCTCGCACGAAATAGGGCAAAAGGGGCGAAAATAGGGCGGTGACACCAAAACCAGCTTTTCTATAGAATTAACTTCAGTTCTTACTAACTTCAGTTCGTATATAACTTCAGTTCTGAGCTTTCATACTGAATATGTTTTCAAGAGAATTCCAAATTTGGAAGGGAACTCGGGTTTTAAAGGGAAGGAGGGCAAAACCTCTAAAAGTTTAAGTGTCCAAGAGAATTTTCGATACACTTCAAACCCCTTCCCATATCTGAGGGCTATGAGAAGACGAAGAAGTCCTGATTAGTAATTAATCTTTGGCCTAATAATGCAAAACACCAATTGATATGCTGGCGAGCTTTTTAGCGTTCCCAAAGATTTCTAGTGCTTTCCTCCACTTTCCGGTCGCTCCGCAGCTAAGCTATCGCTACAAAGCGCTCTTAGCACCAGTTCAATAACCGAGTTTGCTTTCAAGGGGTAAGGAATGCTATCCTAACGCAGGCTAACTTTAGGTTGTTTTTTCAGATAACGGTGTGCGAAATAGGCTATCCGCGCATATTTCGAAAAGGGCAAAACAATGACTAAACCAGATGGTCTCTACAGATTTCGTAAGGAATGAGCACTCAGTATGTCCACAAATTCCGCTGAAAGCAGAATCCGTGGCGCGATCCAACGCGACTGTATTGCAGGCTGTCCTCTCTGATGCTTCGAAAACGGATTCCCTCTCCATTCGCACCACAATGGCCAAACTTTGGCTGAGTTACGCAATTTACGTGAGCAATCAATTTCCGGGAAGCCACTTCTTTCTTGGCGTCTTTTGCGGTGTGGGGTCTGCACTCGACAATTTCTCGTTTTCCGAAATGAATTGTACGCATCTGTAAGTCGGTACTCACGGAAATTGTGTACTTCAGACAAAGTATCAGAATATTAGAAAGTATTAGACAGAAATATAGAGTTTCTGAGAAGGAAGTTGTTGTAGACGGTGGAGTTGACTGCCGAAGAGCACCAGTAGACGAGAAGATTTATTGAAGCAATGAACTTCGACAACACACAAAAACATCTCAGTCTTATTATTATATTGCTACGTACAATGCGCGGGTTTGCAAACCAGTCACAACACGTCTAATAACCATAGATCGATAACACCCTACAACACCTCCCCTTTTAAGTTGTATCGTATCGGGACCTTCGGGGGTCCAGCTGGAGTCGGCGTGGCTGTCGTCGATTGCGTTGCGATCGTCGTGGTGGATTGATCGGAGTCGTCCGCGGCGTGCAGTCGTTGCTCGCAGAATCGAAGAGTGGTAGATCGAACACGTCCAGAAGTACGTTTGTCGTTGTCGTCGCAGTTGTGTCGCTTCTGGGTCGCAGCTGATTCACGTGTCGAGTCCATAGCAGATTTCCACAACGCACGATGTAGGTTGCGTTTCCAACACGTCGAACGATAACACCAGGTGTCCAAGACTGTTTTAGTCCTCTGTAGTCCTTGGCGTAAATAGTGTCGTTGCGTTCGAAGTTTCGGTGTCGTGCTCCATGTTGACGATTGAATTGCATTTCCATTTTGACGTCTCGTGGTCCATTGGTGACGTCTTCTTGAGGTAGCAGCAATTCGAGATCGGTTCGTAGTCGGCGTCCCAGGAAGGCTTCGGCAGGTGAGCGCTGGTCCGGTGCAGACGGGCATGGAGTGGAACGATAAGCCATCAGAAACGTCTGTAGAGCGTCAACTGTCGGTTCCTCCCCCTTCAACTTGGCGAGTCCTCGCTTGAAGGTATCCACAAAGCGTTCAGCTTGTCCATTGCTCTGCGGATGGAACGGCGGCGTACGAATGTGTGTGATTCCTCGGGAACGGCAGAACAAGGCGAATTGCGACGATGTAAACTGCGTCCCGTTGTCCGTGACAAGAATCGTCGGATTTCCGTATTTGGCGAAAATGTCCTTCATCACTTGAATAGTAGCCGTGGAAGATATTGATGACATCTGAACGATTTCAGGCCATTTGGAATAGGCGTCCACAAGTATCAGGTAAAATCGTCCATTCATGGGTCCTGCGAAGTCAGCGTGTACGCGGATCCATGGAGAGTTTGGTTTCGGCCAGGAGTACAGTTCGGCTTTGACGGGATCTTTTGCCACTGAAGCGCATTTGCTGCAGTTCCTGACGAGTTGTTCGATGTCATTATCCAGTGTAGGCCAGTAGACGTAGCTTCGTGCTAGCATCTTCATCCTTGTTTGTCCTGGATGAGCCTTGTGTAGTGTTGCAAGTACACGGCGTTGTAGTGATCTGGGTATCACTATGCGAGATGCGGTGAGAAGGCAACCATCGACAGTTGTCAGAGTATCTCGTCGGTTGTAGTAGTGCCAGAAGGGAAGAATTGCGATCTATCTTGGGCCATTTTCCAGACTTCGTGTAGTCGATGACCTTCTTGATAACATTATCATCTTCTGTAGCAGTCCGGATGGTTTCGGCAGAGACCGGGAGGTGACGGCAGTTCTCGATGAACTCGGCAGTTACATCGGCATCTACGTTGGCAATAACGTAGTCCTCCGGCGTTGATGAGTGCGACGCTATGAGACGTGAGAGAGCGTCCACTTGTCCGAAATCCTTTGTGTTGACGTATTCGATCGCGAAGTTGTAGTTGAGTAGCATCGTGGCCCATCGCTGAAGACGGTTGGCACTGTAGACAGGTATTCCTTTCTTGTTTCCAAAGATAGCGACGAGTGGCTTGTGATCGGTCTTCAGCGTAAAGTGTCGTCCGTGGACAAAGCGATGAAATTTCTGCACGGCGAATATGAGAGCAAGTGCTTCCTTCTCAATTTGACTGTAGTTCTTCTGCGCTGGAGTAAGGCAACGGCTTGCGTGGTAGACGACCTTCTCAGATCCGTTCGGAAAGCGGTGTGAGAGAGTTGCTCCTATTCCGTAGTTAGAAGCATCGGCTGCCACAATGATCGGTAGATTCGGATCGAAGTGAGTCAGTAGAAGATCCGAGTTGAGTATTGCCTTTATCTTGTCGAAGGAAGATTGGCACTCCGGTGTCCACGTGTAGACAGCATCCTTCTTCGTGAGGGCGTCTAACGGAGCGCGTAGGTTGTGCAGATCTTTGACGAAGTTTCCGTAGAAATTGATGAGTCCAAGAAAGGCGCGTAGCTGGCTGACGTCTTTTGGAGCTGGCATCTTTTGAATGGCTTTGACCTTGTCTGGGTCAGGGCGTCGTCCTTGCGCGTTGATGACGAAGCCAAGGTACTTGATCTGTGTTTGCAAAAAGTTGCATTTCTCGAGGCGAACACGGAATCCATAGTCCTGGATTCGCTGGAACACTGCGTCGAGTCGAGTGTTGTGTTCGTCGATGGTCCTGCCAGTGACCAGTATGTCGTCGAGGTAGGCGGCAGTTCCATCTAGTCCGGCAATGAGAGCGTCGATACATTGCTGGAAGATGCCAGGAGCAGGCTTCACTCCAAATGGTAGGCGATTGAAACGGTAGAGTCCTTGGTGCGTATTGATCGTCAGCAGCTGTTTGAGTCGTCGTCCACTTCCAATTGCAAGCTTCAGCAAGGTCCAGCTGTGAGAAGTAGCGTTCTCCAATCAGGGTGAATAACGGTCGAGGAAATCCTCGACCATAGCTCTCTACCATGCGAGAGTAGTGCCGAGAGTGAACATCCGCGCGGAGAGCACAGACGGCACGGCATGGCGAGTGTGAATGTCCGCGCGAGAGATCGTGTCTGATCGGGCAGAGAATCCTCGACGTGCCGTTGAGGAATCCTCAAGCGATATTCACCCTGCCTCCAATGAGTTTCGTGAAAATGTCATCAGGAGTTGGAAGTGGGTGCTGGTGCTGTTCAAGTGCGTCGTTCAGTCCTGTCGAGTAGTCTGCGCAGAGTCGTATCGAACCATTTTTCTTCTGAACGGCGACGATAGGAGCGGCCCATTCTGAGTGATCGATGGGCGTCAAAACTTGTGTTAGATACAAGGCGGTCGATTTCAGTCGAAATCTTCTGAACAGCGGCGTATGGAACAGGACGAGCCTTTTGAAAAACAGGCTTAGCGTCAGGCTTGAGAATGAGTTTGGCCTTCGACTTGGTGCAATGTCCTAGTCCAGGCGTGAAGACTGTAGCGAACTTCTTCTTCAAGTGCGCAGTGAGAGAAGAGTTCAGTGTGCTTAGCGTCGATGAGGTTACGTTGCAGATGGAGCCCTCGGCTAGGACGACGAAAGAGAGGCTCGTGCTGGGTGATCCAGTCCAGACCCAGCAATGACGGCGTGTCGGCAACGTAGCAGGTACCTCGTCCATGTTGACCATCAATGACGAAACTGCAGTCATAGCGTCCTCGAACATTGATTGGCTTGTTGTTGGCAGACCTCAGAGTGATTTGAGGCGATTGTAACTTCGGACGACCGATAGCGATCCAGTCCGCATTGCTCATTGGAGCGGCGTCGACATGTGTTGAGGCGATGACGACGTTGTTTGCTGTTCTCCGCTTCCGTCTCGGCTTCTGCTTCTTCTTCTTCGTCGTGAAGTTCTTGCAGAATCCTCGCTTGTGACCGGATTTCCCGCAGTCGTGGCATGTCTTGTTCAGGAATGGACAATCCTTTGACCAATGGTGTGCTCCACAGCGGAAGCACGGCGATGGCGGGTCGTGTTTTCGGCTCTGGGAGTCAACGGCGTTGATGTGAGACGAAGCTGATCGTTCGGGAAGAGCAGCATCTTGACGAATGTTGAGAAACTGCTGGATCTCCGCGGCCAGTTCCTTCAATGTCGTTTGAGGATTGTCTTCCATCTTGCGAAGGGCACGGGCACGGATATCAGCATCTTCGGGAGATGAGAGTCCGCATATCCATACGAGACATTTCATCTGCTCAGGACTAACGTCGTTGAATTCGGCCATAGTATGTCGTTGATTGACCAGTCCGGTGTAGTCCCGCAGGTTCTCTCCATTGCGCTGGGTCTTGAGGTAGACGTATCGGCGCGAGAAAACGGAAGTATTGTGTCCAAATAGATCCTTGAGCGTTGCTACGGTGTCCGCTAAGGATATCTCGCAAGCCCTCTTCGGGAGAATGTGGCTTGTGAAACGAGCGTATGTGACGGCGTCGAGCTTGGAGACGATAAGTCGGGCTTTCGCAGCTTCATCCAAGGTAGCACCGTCCTTAGATATGACGTCTTCGTATCGATTGTACCACACCTCAAATGTACAACCGTTGTCGGGATCATACACGAATTCGGGCAAACGTGTTGAGAGCGAGTTCGTCACGAATTCGGCTGTGTTGGCTGGAGGCGCTGGAGCGGTTGAACGTGAGCCAGACACAATTCCTTCCATGCGGTTGACTAGTTCAGCGAACATCTTCTGCTGTTCGGTGAACATCTGCATCTGCGTCTGCTGCTGCATCTTGGCCTGGGCATCCAGGATGGCTTGCAGGCTTTTTGCATCCATTATCGGTGTGACTCTGTCAGCAGTTCGACCGGGCACGGCGCCGGGGCTGACTTGTCACACGTCAACACGGTCAGCAGTTTGACCGGATACGCTGCCGGGGCTGGGCGTTAACGCTCTCAGCAATCGACCGGGCAGGGAATCTGGAGCTGAAGATAGGACTAGACCAGCAGTTCGTCCGGGCTCAGCGCTTAGAACCGGGGCTGGAGTCCTGTAGAAGTTTCTTCTTCGTTGCACTGGTCGTCCTCGGCTTCTTCCGCGTCGAAGTCCGCTGATCGCCAGTTGTTGTAGACGGTGGAGTAGACTGCCGAAGAGCACCAGTAGACGAGAAGATTTATTGAAGCAATGAACTTCGACAACACACAAAAACATCTCAGTCTTATTATTATATTGCTACGTACAATGCGCGGGTTTGCAAACCAGTCACAACACGTCTAATAACCATAGATCGATAACACCCTACAACAGAAATATTGTTTCAGACCGAAGACTAAGTCACATCTCAAAAAAATAGAAGAAATATGTTTTGACTTACAGTAAATCGTGTGATGGTCTATTGGTCGCATTGACGCCTGCGATGAAATGTTGACGATAGAACCACGGACTGAATGCCGAATCATCTCGTTGGCGACAATTTTGGTCAGAACAATCGGGGCTTTTAGATTGACATCAAACTGCCTATAATAGTGGATAATATCATGGGCTGACACAAATTTCTTGGCCATAAGGGGGGGCCTAAAGAAAAAACACGACTAAGGCCTACATGTTCATGGCTTGCTCACTGATTTCGAGGCAAGATTCAAGCATTCCCACTCCTGCATTGTTGACCAGGAGATGAAAAGGTTGATGAGATACCAGAAGTGATGATAAAGTGGACTCAGATGAGGTCACGTCAGCGACCACAACCGTAATGTTGCTGTGCTGTAATGGTGAAATTTGATTAAAAACGCAAATGCAGATTTTCTTCCCAGAGAATAACTGTAAAATGAAGCTGCAAACAAGATGAAACCGTGTCAACTTTGTATCACGAAAGTAAATGTTCTGGGTATACAGTGCGTTGTAAAATCATACCAATTTCAACTGTAAGGAGACTTCGGACACCCCTCGGAAGTCTCCTTACAGTTGAATTTTTTATCCATCCAGCAACGATGGTAGCACTTGTCCGGTGTATGGTAATTCTATTAGAGTTACGGTTTGAGTTGCTCCCTTTCCGCGAGTGAAAGCCAGACTTTCTTTTTATACGCGCCTGATGGCTCTACCATGAGCATCGAAGCCATTTTTAGGAGCTCAAAGAAAACCATAGCTTGGTGCTCCAAATTCTCACTACGAATAGAAATAAGAGTGCACCAGGATAAATAGCAGAAGTTCTCTAAAAGGATTAGCTATAACCTCGAAGATTACATCAAACAAAATCACCATGTACGGTCAACCTGTGTCAGCTCTACGAAAGAAAGAGGATAGAAATGAAATCCTATAGCAAAATCACTGATATGGACAACTAGCGTAGGGTCCTGCGAAGCGTGCTGCCATGCTCGTTAGGCGTTCTGACTGAAACCAGAGAAGAGAAACTTCAGGTCTGGAACTCAGGATGAGGTTACGCATCACCACATCTTTAGGAAACGATCACGAAAATTTTGTTGAAGGAATAAGTCGAATCCTGGCCCATATTTCTTTACAAGTGAACAGCAGTCATCTGAACCATCAAAGTTAAACTGCTCATTACCGAAGAAGCGCGGTCTGAAAGGAACAAATTACTTATTATTTTGAATGAAAAATTGCTCAACAAAGCCCAGCTTCGGCCCAGTCTTTCGTTAGATTTCTCTTCTCTGGTTTCAATCAGAACGCCTAACGAGCATGGCAGCACGCTTCGCAGGACCCTACGCTAGTTGTCCATCAGTGATTTTGCTATAGGATTTCATTTCTATCCTCTTTCTTTCGTAGAGCTGACACAGGTTGACCGTACATGGTGATTTTGTTTGATGTAATCTTCGAGGTTATAGCTAATCCTTTTAGAGAACTTCTGCTATTTATCCTGGTGCACTCTTATTTCTATTCGTAGTGAGAATTTGGAGCACCAAGCTATGGTTTTCTTTGAGCTCCTAAAAATGGCTTCGATGCTCATGGTAGAGCCATCAGGCGCGTATAAAAAGAAAGTCTGGCTTTCACTCGCGGAGGGAAAGGGAGCAACTCAAACCGTAACTCTAATAGAATTACCATACACCGGACAAGTGCTACCATCGTTGCTGGATGGATAAAAAATTCAACTGTAAGGAGACTTCCGAGGGGTGTCCTATGATTTTGCAACGACTACAAAACTAAAAAAATTGTCTAAAAATACGGAAAACTATTCGGATGATCTGGCTACTTGTTTGTATAGGTTTTTTATAGAGGCGGTTCTGATTCTACCAGTTGCGATAGACGGCTTTTTCTAGAAGCCGAGATATTCATATTTTTGGGGGTGTCCTATGATTTTGCAACGCACTGTACTCTATTCTGTGTTGGAAAAAATTACAAGTATATATATATAATGTATATATATCTTTGAGCAAACATACAGCAATGGCGGAAAATTCTCTTGGCAGCGTCGAGGGACTAAGCATTCCCCACGAACTACTGATCGTCCTCTTTCGAGCCTGATGAACAGATAATAAAGATAATAATCAATCCGTGATGACCCACTGCTGTGCAAACGGTGCTATGTGGGAGCGTTCTCTTGATCAATGATGAAAAAAACCTCGATACAAGTACTTCTACAAATAGAGATGCACACATGACGGCGACGAGGCCAAAACGACTTCAAGGAGGTGGAAGCAAGCAATCAAAGTTTACCATACTCCGCATTATCCGCATTACAGCACTGGGTGAAAATTCGAAAGATGAACTACTTTCACTTTTTAGCCATTCCTCTCCCTTTTACCTTCCATTCAACAAAATTTGTAAAATGCCCTAATGCTTCCAAAATTCAAAAATATCGAAAGGAACGCGTCAGTTTTTCTTCTGAACTCTTCGAGTTCGCACTTTCACTTGGAACTTGGAGGACGCTACTTCTCACAGCTGGACCTTGCTGAAGCGTATCTACAATTGGAAGTGGACGACGACTCAAAACAGCTGCTGACGATCAATACGCACCAAGGACTCTACCGTTTCAATCGCCTACCATTTGGAGTGAAGCCTGCTCCTGGCATCTTCCAGCAATGTATCGACGCTCTCATTG